ACGTTTTAATTTGAACTACTTTGAAAATTATGTGTCAAAACTGTTGTCCATTTAAAACCAAAATCATCGAAGCTAATAATCTTTTTGAAACCTATACATTCTATTTGAAATCAAAATAAAACAATAGATGAGTCTTACTCAGTTCAAAACAGCCGGTGTGATTGGCACACACACTTGTGCGTGCAGAAACTTCGAAGGGTTGTTGCCCAGAAGTATGTTTCCACTTGTATAAATTCCAAAAGACATGGTTTTGTAGAACATAAGTTTTTGTTTTTCATATTCATTTGAAAATGAGAATATTAAAATAATCAAGTTTAATATTCACCTGTATAAATGCTGTACAAACATTTTAATGACAGGCTAAGGGCTTACACAGAGCTTAGGCTGAAGTGGTTTATGAACCAAAGAGTTATGCAACACTTGATGATTAATGGTATTATCAAGTTCGCTTGGTGCCTCAAAATACCTCCAAGAAGTGAAGCCTCCTAAATCACTCTAATACAGCTCTGGCTGCTAGCCAAAGTAAGAGATCGGTCTCTTCTGATCTCACCAGAACATTTGGTTGGGTGGTGCTGTGGGAACAGTACAAGACATAAAGATGGCAGGCGATAGCATGCTTAGCTGCAGGCCAGAGATGAAGACGAAGATTGCTCTGAGGAAGGAAATGAGGTGGTCAGAGTCCATGGCACATGATAATCCTGGCTGCACCGGTTCCCGTCTCCGTGTCTGTCTGGCAGATCTACAGCTTTCTGAATCTGCTGCTCAGAGCATGTTTTTTCAATTGCACTGATGAGACTAGCTGGCTCCTAATAAACGTAGGCTTTGGTTTAAATGACAGCTCTAATTTCACATTTGGGGATGAGAGACTGTGGAAAAGCTTGGCAAAGCCTGACTCACTCAGATCAATGCAGATTGATTCCATTTCCTGTGAAGATGAAGTGTGCCATAGAGTTGAGGACTTGAGGGACCTGTTTATAATTAGTCTGGGTGTAATCTCATTTCACACCACCTTCTGAGGAGGCAAATGTTTTTGCAAATTTATCTGCATAATTGGTCATGGTGCTAATCAGATTTGAAGTTACCTGCTGGCTTGATAAGGCAATATATCGTTGCGCTACATAGCATCCAAAAGGATGTGTGGTTAAAGGATTCTGTTTTACAACTAACACAACAACTACTCCGGTAAATTGGGTGATTATGTATTTTTAAATGAGTTTATGTGCCACAGGTTTGGGTATTAAATTAGGCAAAAGGCTAACCCTGTATCCCCAGGGTTGCTTGGGTACTTGCGAGAGGGTGGTAAATTTAATGCTGTCTTATGCTCACACTTATGACTCTTATTTTAACACAATCATGACTCTTATTTGAACACAATCATGTTCAAATGTAAAATATTCCTTTGGGCTCTACACTTTTTAGGAACCATAGGTTGAACACGTAATGAAAATGTGCAGAATAAAATTTGTGCCATTAAAATGAAAATCAAACAATTTTCAACAATCAGCCAGTAAACAACAGAATAAAAATCATTAACATAAAATTATTTAACGGTTTATGGTTTATAAAGATGGTTTAATTAACATAAAAAATACAAATAAAAAATATTGATTTAAAATACACTCCATTCTTAGTTGGTTTCATTTTCAGCTTTATTTTTGCATCTTTGAACATGATTTCAGCACTTTTAATTTCGCTTTGAAATTTTCCTTTGCGATCCTGAAATTGTTTGACATTCTGGCACTAATCTCCTACAGGGGCAGGGATAACATTGTAGAGCACTCATTGGTGAGTACGATTTTGATTGGCAGCTCTATGAACTGGATGTACAAGTATTTCTGAGGTTTTTTCACCAGTGATTCAGTGAAAATGCAGCATGTTTCAAGATACCAGAGCAGAAAAGGAACTCAGGACTTATTAAATACAACCCATTGGTTGAAAGTTATGAATATTATGTTGTATGTTGGTTGAGGGCGTGGTTTTTGTCCATAAGCTTCAGCATGTTACAGTCCATAAAAAGTTGCTTCACCCATGATCTAAATGCTATATGCATGTTACGTTTTGTGTTATCTTTGATCTGAGGTTTTGTTGTTGTGCAAGCTGAAATGTCAGTGGTCTAACGTAACACAATAAAGTTGATCCAATAAAGTTTTCCCTGTGATATACATTTTTGTTGACATCTATTGTCATTCATGCTGAAAGTAAACCAAATGCTTTGGCTTTGTTGTGTTAAATAAATGTGTTGTTTTAAGTGAATCCAGTATTACTTATTACAAACGTCGGCTTTCCATCTTAAATTGAAATAAATTAGTTTTGCTAGATGAAAATAGGCACTGTTTAATCGCAAGTCATAAATATGCAATCTTCAAATACCATAGACTGTACGTAACATGGACGAAGTGTCAGTGACGTCACCCATTGGTTTCTGGCAAACGAGCCTCAGAGTGGATGTCGCCAGCCATTGCCTTAGAAAACACACACACAATGAACTAAAACCACACAATCAAAAAAGAAACACCCAACAGTAAAATAAAAAAAAACTGATGAAATTAGCTGGAATGAACTTCACCAGAGGATGACGCATGATGAGACGGGCTGAAAGAACTGCCCAACATCTGCCCCCCAAGAAACCACAACCTTAATTATGCAAATATTTCAATTTCAGGATTGCAAAGGAAAACTTAGAAAGCGAATCTGATCCTAAAAAAGAAACCTGCAAAGAATGGAGTGTATTTAAAGTATAAAAAATGAAAAAAGCGTTGATAAAAGTGTCTCCGTAAAAAATGTATTGATGTCCATTTTTAGTTGAAATTGCATTCGTTTTATAGGTCTATTATGCCACCCTTAACCTAAAAACATTTCATCGGACTGGCATCGTGAAAACTGAGAGGTGATGAGAACAAAAATAATTGTCTTAAAATCAAGCAAAGTTACCCAAAAGGTTCTAAAAAAGAAAGCAAGAAGAGAGAAAGTTCAAATGTTTGTTGGCAAAGTTTAGCCTCAGCACAGACGCGCACCCCTAGTCTGTACCCTGATTCACACCTTACACAAAGTGTAACCACATATGGTTGGCACAGGTCAGCTTGCTATTGCTGGATGTCTCCACCATTAACACATTAAACTCAGATAGGAACCAAACCCCTGAGTGTTTCTTCAGCAAAGAAGTACAAAGATTGCTGCTCTAAACATGGAAAAAGAAGACCAGTTGATGGAAACGAGAAACCCTACCAACAACCTACCTTTTAGAAAGTATTATTGCAGTGCAACAAATGATCATAGGCCACAATTTAACCTCAACATGGATGTAAAAATCCCTCTTTTCACATTTGTTCTCCAAAAGTCGCTGCTAATGATGTCAGCAATATGTTGTTGGAAGCCACAGTGACCAAGTTTCATTTCACAATACAGAGAGATTGTTACACATTTGAGATTATGCACCAATGCATCACTAGCTTTGATGTCGACACAGACTGGTGGCTTTTGACCAAATGTAGAGGTCTCCAGAAGACAGATGGTTCCTCTTGTCTTTTCACCTCCATTCAGCTCACGCTCAGGTTCGAATGAAAGTCTAGAGCCTCAGACACACGGCAAATGAAGGTCTGCTGCCATAATATTTGTCTTGACACCCAATGCTTCCTGAGTTCCTTGTGAAGGAGATTGTAGGTGTCATCTGAATGGCACATTAAAGACCTCTGGCTGTTTATTTGTTGTAAGATAGGAAGACAGCGTGCAAAACATTCGACATGTCCTGCTGTTGATTATCACACTACCCGAGGGAAGGGGACTTCAATGGTGACTCTCCCTAACCAAGACACAGTCAATTTATTGGATGATCTGACACATTTCAATCAGAACGAGGGATGCAGCAGATCTCAAGGTAAAAGCTTCTGACAGACACAACACTTAAAGCATAAGCACAAATATTGGCAGAGCTGTGCAGTAGATGTGTAGGTATTTGTATATTTTTCATTTCACAGAAAAAAAAAGTTTTAAATGTCACCATTAAATTTGTGCAGAAGGACCAGCTGGCTCAAATAAACAGTAAAAAATAAACTCAGATCTAGCTCATAAAAAAGAAGCAAGTGATTGCATGGGGGAAACTGATTTTATTAAACTTTTAAGAGTAATTAAGTAAATAAAAGTATATAGTATATATATATATATATATATATATATATATAAAAGTAGCTAGAAGTCACGTTTTATGAACTCAATTCATTTTCGAACCTGCTCTTTCCCTTTTGGGATCACAGGTGTCATCTCCAGCGCACAATGGGCGAGAGGCGGGGGTACACCCTGGACAGTTTGCCAGGCAATCGCAGTGAACTCGAATTTTCGAGTCATTTTCTATGCATAAATGGACACTCATTTGGAGAACACTTGTAAATTGTAAAGGTATTTCTTTTTGAGCACAACATTTCTTATTTCACACATATTTTATTACAAAAAAAGAGAAAAAAACCAGAATCAATTTGGCTTTCAAACATTGAGATGCCTCAGAGACAAAAGTAGAAAATCAATCTCTACCAGGAGTAGGGTTCGAACCCACGAGGACATTTGTCCATTGGAACTTAAGTCCAACGCCTTAACCTCTCGGCCATCCTGGTCATATATGAAAACTTGTATTAAAAAAGTTTTTTTTAAATACCTGATGTTTGTTTCAGTTTCTTAAAATTTCTTAATAAAAATTCAAAGATAAAGAGAATCAATTTGCCTCAGGGCTAGAGGAAACAATACAACTCTACCAGGAGTATGGTTCAACCCACAAGGGCATTTGTCCGTTAGGTCTTAAATCCAACACCTTAACCTCTCAGCCATCCTGGACTTACCTGCCAACCTAATTGAAAACTCCTGGTTAAATTCTTTTTTTTTTCTTTACAGTAAATTCCCCGAAAATCGTCTCAGTTTCTTACATTTTTTTTAATAAAAACTCAAAGAAAAACAGAACCAATGTATGAATCTAACATTAAGATGCCTTTGGGGTAAAAAAAGGAATCAATGTCTACCAGGAGTGAGGTTCAAACTCAGAAGGACATTTGTCCATTGTATCTTAAGTCCAAAGCCTTCACCTCTAGGCCATCCTGTTCATATACAGCAACTTGAATGAAAAGTTCTGGTGAAATTCTTGTTTTTTTTTTTCTTTAAATTCCCTGAAGTTCGTCCTAATTTCTTAAAATTTCTTAATAAAAACTCAAAGATAATCACAATCAATTTGGGAATTAAACATTGAGATGCCTCTGAGCCAAAAATAAATAAATCTCTACCAGGAGTGGGGTTCAAGCCCACGGGAACATTTGTTTTTTAGATCTTGAGTCCAACGCCTTAACCTATCGGCCATCCTGGTCATATATGGGAACTTGATTGAAAAGTCCTGGGTAAATTCTTTTTTTTCTTTAAATTCTTTGTAGTATTTCTCAGTTTCTAAAAATGTTCTTAATAAAAACGCAAAGATGAACAGAATCAATTTGATTCAACAATGAGGTGCCTTTTGGGCTAAAAGAAGGAATCAGTCTCTACCAGGAGTGGGGTTCGAACCCACAAGAACATTTGTCCATTGGATCTTAAGTCCAACGCCTTAACCTCTCGGCCATCCTGGTCATACATGAAAACTTGATTTAAAAAAGTTTTGGTTAGGTTCTTTTTTTTTCTTTAAATTCCCTGAAGTAAGTCTCAGTTTCAAAAAATTTCTCAATAAAAACCCAAAGATAAAGAGAACCAATTGCGAATCAACAATGAGATACCTTTTGGACTAAAAGAAGGAATCAATCTCTACCAGGAGTAGGGTTCGAACCCACGAGGACATTTGTCCATTGGATCTCAAAAGTCCACCTCCTTAACCTCTAGGCCACCATGGTCATATATGAAATTTTGATTTGAAAGTCCTGGTTAAATTCTTTTTTTTTAATTTAAATTCCCGGAAGTAAGTCTCAGTTTCTTAAAATGTTTTTAATAAAAACCCAAAGATAAACAGAACCAACTTGCGATTTAAACATAGAGATGCCTTTTGGGCTAAAAGTATGAATCAATCTCTACCAGGACTGTAGTTCGAACCCAGAAGGACATTTGTCCATTGCAACATTTGTCTTACACCTTAACCTCTAGGCCATCCTGGTAATGTATAGCAAATGACTGAAAAGTCCTGGTTAAATTCTTTTTTTTTCTTTAAATTCCCTGAAGTAAGTCTC